TTTAATTTAGGAGAAAAATGTCAAAAACAACCATGCCATGTGTGAAAAGATGATTACCTCCTAAAACTTATCCCTGATTGCCATTCTGTGTGACGACGGCTATTGAATTTGATAACTGGTAATATGTATTTCAAGCCAGTCCACTCCTTGACTAGGCTACTTATAAAACCTTAATTTGCAGGGTTTCCGCAGGTCAATAAAATCATTAAAAGGCATTAAATTATTTTTTAATTTAAGACCTTAATTGGCATTAAAATTCATTAAATGTATTTATTGTGGCATTTAAAATTCTTTGTTAAAAAAATGTTTATAAAAACAATTTCGTCAGATATATTATATCACGATATATTTGCTTCCAGTTGATTGCAAAGCTGTATGTTCAGAAAAGAAGCTTGAGTCGGAGAATAGGGGGGGAAAAAAGCTAATTTCAACAAAAGTGGCTGGAAAACGAGGAATTTGGGACATGTCTGCAGCCTGTCGACGGGTACCTGTTGCTGGCATTAAAATGATTTCTAAGAGCATTAAAAAGCATTACATTTGAGTTATTCATTCCTGTATAAACCCTGATTTGATCCGTGGATCAATTATAACAAGTTAGGGAATAAAGCGGAATAAAGCCCCAGAGCATCACACTACCTCCCTGTATTTGACTATTGGCTCGATTTTTCTTTTTACACCAGGTGTATCTAGATGCAGTTCCAGTTTGATTGGTCTATAAAATATTTCCCCAAAAATCTTGGAAATCAAAGTTTTTAGGGGCGTTTGGGTGGCGGAGTCGGGATTAGGTGGGCCTTGGTGTTATTTAATAGCAATGATTATGACCTTTGACCTTCCTATTGTTTGCTTGGATGTCTGGTTAAATCATAAAGACATACTGGGTTTATTTTTAGTTCCCGTGTGACCTTGCTGATAAGTCATCAGTGAATTTCTTAAAAATTAAGATGGATAGCTGTCAAAGTGAATAATTTAAGCAGAAACTACAATTGAAAATGAAAAAGATGTACTTTACACCACTCGCCCTACAAACAAATGAGATGTTAGCAAAGCAGAAAACAAGTGTTTGCGGTTGGCTTTGAATTTAACCAGACAGAACCTATAACTATTCTGGTTGTGGTGGGGACGTGCTAGGTAAGCTAACTTCCAGTAGCATAACCAGCTAAATTATGTCTTGTTTTCTTTTGGGAGCGCTTTTTAGTCCTGGATGATCTTGGTTAAGAAAATAAAAAAATAAAATCACAACCAAATAAGTGAAAATGATTTACTTTGAAACAATCTATAAAAGAGCAAACAGACAGTTTATAACATCAGTTTTTAGTATTTTTTAAACACCTGGCAGCCATATTGGATTGAAAGGTTGAATCTGGTTGGAAAGCTACAACTTTAACCTTGATTTCAATCTTTGAGTTGTTCAAATATTTTTCAATATAAAAATTTTACCTTAAAAAGTTTAGCTCTGTGTCAGTTTAGTGTTCAAGTTTTTTTTTTTTATTTTTTTTTTTTTACTTACAGTTGTCCTAATCAGATGTTGCACTGGACCATGAGCCATGTCTCCCATGTATAAAGAAAACACTACCGTTGCTTTGAGATCAGGGTCAGTAATAACCCCTTGATAATCTACACTAATTCAAAATACTAAGAAGAAGAGGAGCCTTATGGGGTTCAGGTCAGAGACCTTAATTCAAACAGCAAAGTGATGCGGTTCCAGTTCTTCCTGATGAAGATGACCGGATCTTAACTGTTGTGTAATCAGGTGGTAATAAAACAGGCCAGCTCTTCATGCTGCATGCAGTTATCCGGTTCTCCCTACAGTGAAAGCACTGAGCTGATTAATACAATACAATCCAATACCACTGGCTCTGTTTTGTACCCCCCCCCACGTCTGTGTATATCCAAACAATTGTGCATGGCCAAACCCACAGAGAGCCTCAATGTCCTGGAAAGAACGCAACACCAGCAAAACAGAAGGTGAAAAACAGATGACAAGATGTTCTTTGTTTTCATGCGGGGGGGGTACAGTCAGTCACGGGGCAACAGGGAGTCAAACTCTTCTTAAGAGCAATAAATATTGGAAAAAAACTGCCTTATCTCCTTGTCGGCTGAGAGAAGCATCGACTTGGTTCTTTCTGTATGTTCCTGCTTTTTGTTTTTTTTAAACATCAAACAAATGTCTGTTAGACTTTGTGTGAATCGCAGCAAACAGGAAAAGATTCCTGCCTCAGTAGTCGCTCTGTAAGGTTAGATCTCATGCTGCGCTGTGACTCCTACTAAACAGAAAACTATACTAAGTGTTAAAATGGAGAACCCTGCATGATGTCTGACATGTATCCATTCATCGACCTATTTAAATTTCTAATCAGCCAATCACATGGTGGCATCTCAATTCATTTAGGCATGTAGACATGGTCAAGATGATCTGCTGCAGCTTAAACCCAGCATTACAATTGGGAAGAAAGGGGATTTAAGTGACACTGAATGTAGCACAGTTGTTGGTGCTACTGCGTTTTCAAGCGCAATCGTCTCTAAGGTTTGCAGGAAATTGTCAGAAAAAGACAAAATATCCAATGGGTGGTAGTTCAGTAGGCACAAATGCTTTGTTGATACCAGAGGTCAGAAGAAAATGGCTGATAGAAAGGCAACAGTATGGCTTTTCCAGCAGGATAATGTGCCGTGTCATAAAGCCTCTCAGACTGGTCTATTAAACAAAACAATGAGTTCACTGTACTCAAACAGCCTCCCCAGTCACTAGATCTCAATCCAATAGAGTCCCTTTGGGATGCGTTGGAAGTGGAGATTCACATCATAGATGTGCAGCCCGAAAAAAATCTATGAATCTATGCCACGAAGGATTGAGGCAATCTGACGGCAAAAAGGGCCCAACCCAGTACTAGAAAGGTGTACCTAATAAAGTGGCAGGTGAGTGTATAATATTTAAATAATACTTAAAATGTATCATGCTTCTGTTCCTTGGCTCCCTTGATAAATCAATTGTTTTTCATTACGCGAATACACTTGGTTAAATTTCATGATCATGTAGAATCCAGAAAAACTTAAATAGAACCTGTCAGGAAAACACGGCTTAGGTTAGATTATCTAATAAAAAAGGAAGAAAAAATCAGCACATGATGCAATCTAAGCAAATTCGAGAACAGATGAGAATAAATCATCTGTCAGTCTGTTACAGAGGCTTTTCTAAGGCTTTGAGAGTCTGGTAAATAACATTCACAAAAGGGAGAAAAATCTGAATTTTTATATGGAATCCATTTTTGAATGTTTATACAAAAGTTGATCCTGAAATTATGTTTTAAGTCATCAGGTAGCATCTAAATTACAACAAACCACAAAGGAAGACCACAAAGGAATGTGGTCTTCCAAGTGAATTTTCACTCTTCTACTTCTAAGGCCACTTTTATGTTGGATCAGGGTCACAACATCATGAATAGGGTAGATTGGACGGTATGGAATAGGATTTGGGCCACTGGAAAAAAAACAATAAACTGATATTTTTATTTCATCTGAGTTTAATATTGGAAAAATTTCCTTTTTTACATATTAAACTCAAATAATAATAAAAAAAATCTGTTTATTTTATTTATTTTTTTCCGGTACCCCTTATACTCTTCCGTACTACAGTCTAGGCAAAATCTTAAAAAAATATATAGAATTTTTCATCCTTTTTTGGATGCATTAAACACATAGCCACTTTGCATTGTTCTTGTAGGAGCTAAAACAGGCCAAATATTTAATAGAGTTTGATGGAGTAGCCATGCTGGGCTCATGCCAATGCTTCAGTCATATCCTTCTATGCTGAACGTTATCTAATATAATGCTGCTGAATTCAGTTTCTACAGCTGAAACCAGATATTCAAACCCATAAACGTTCAACTATATCAGAAGTTTACATGGATTCTGTTTGGCATTTGCTAATTCTGTCTTTTAGTTTTGGTTGAATTTTGGCTCATGCATTGACAACTTTGCTTTTTTTTTTTTTTTGTCTTTAGTTTTGCAGTATAATCAGAGTGATTTTCTGTTTGGAAGACCTATGCTGAATCAAGAAAATATTCATGGTTATTCACCTTTTCCAATTTTTTTTGTGCCTTACAGATTTATTCTTAAAATATTAAAAAAGTATTTTCTTTTTTTGGTCTCACACAAAACTGTCCATTATGATATTTTTTTCATTACAAACAAGTTTTCAGGTTGCTTTGCAAATGTATATATATATTAAAAAAAAAACAATATTCAAGTACTAAAACCCTTTGCTTTAACACTTAAAGCTGTGTTTAGGCACATCTGTTTCCATGGTATGGATCATTTTTAAGATGTTTCTACTATGTGGTACTTTACGACAGTAGGAAATGATATCCAAGGACATTTCTTTTCATGCATTCTTTACTGCTTTCTTTTATTTTTTTTGTCATGATATCACAAAAAGTGGGTTTGATGTGTACCTCTAGATGTGTGGCCTTTTATTACCTCAGAGATTATGGGATAACCCATTTGAAGCTTACAGAGCATGACATCACATGGATTTAAAGAGGCTGCATTTTTGATGGATATAACTTTGGATTTAGAGAACAGCCATAGACAAAAAAAAGCAAACAAAAAAAATCACATTACCGTATATGGAAATTGAGTAAATAGAAATAACTGACTGAAAACATTTTATCTGATTTATTTTCAGGCAATGATTATAAATATTTTTTCTCACTATGTACAAATCTGGTTTCAACTGTATGTTTGTTGTTTTTGTTTTCCTCTGTGCTCCGGCTGAAACCGAAAATACTTCCATCCACAAGCTAAAGTGAACAATCCACAATCTCCAGGCTGATATACAGAACATTATAAACCCTATTGATGGAGTAGAGGTATAAGATGTGCAGAGGTGGACACACCTCCAAATTGCACAAAGGCCAGTTCATCGAAGGAAGTTGGATTCATAAAAAAAATCTTAATTACTCAGGAAGGCACTCCTTGATCCACATCCTCTAATTCTTGTGATAAACTCATAAAAGTCTGTATGATGTTTTCAGCTACATATACCTCCCATAATGAGAGAGCAAATTGGGGTCATAAGTGTCTTTACACTGAAAGTAGGTTTTCAAATCCAAGGGATCATGCATTGTTCTTAATCCAGTATGGAGGATCCATTGAACCAAACCCCTTTGTTTGAAAGTCTTCTATTTTCCATTTGACGCGTCACCAGAAAGAAAGAAGACAAAGTAGGATTGCTCATGATGAGTCCTATCATCTTTTTTGCTTCAGTACCTCACTGTAACAATATACTACACCTCCACTGGCGTCAAAATGTATAAGTGGGCTGGAGGTCTTGCTTTTTGAACTTGAGGTCAAGCCCATGTTGGAGCTGTTTTCATCTAAGAGTTCCAAGTTTATGTCACAAGGGTCGACGGGGACAAAGACGGGAGGAGCCAAAGAATCCAGATCTTGAGCCGCCGTCTAAAAAAGAAACAAGGTGAGAATAAATTGTTTGTAGTCAGAACAGAAGGCAAAGTTGGAGAGAATCTTACCAGAGCCTTCGGTGGATTATCAGGGGTCGGTCTGTCCCGTCTGGGTTTTTGCAGGAACACGGCAAGAAATAACAAAAGGACTAGAAAGAACAGACCAATGCCAGCACAATACATCAGCAGCATCCCTGCAGACACACAAACAACACACAAAGCTGCAGGATTAAGGACGCATAAAACACCGGCAGGAGACTAATTGGCTCATTAGGTTTAAGATTGGGTTCAATCAAAATGGTTTAATCATGAGAGACCTTCCCTGTCCTCCGAGTCAGAGAGAACAATGACAAACAAATGCATATTTTGCTTCAAACTTGAGCAGTTGGTCTTTATCCACCTCGTTTTACCTGAACTGGAACGAGTTGCAACACACCCTGGAGCAGATTTTGGGGAGGCAGCTATAGAGTAGATCGGGAAGGAGAAGTTGGCGACAGCACAGTAGCTCTGACCTGGAGACAGACCTGAAAACTCCAAGATGGAAACCACTTCCTGGGTCCAAACTGTGCGGCTCTGTTCAGCACAGACAGGAGACAAACTTACAGGTCTGGTTTGGGAATCATAGAGCAACATTTTTGACTCTTTTCTATTGTTTTGATTAGTGATTAATGTACTTTTTTGTCAATAGATGATTACATTTTTGAACCATTTTGAATGTTTCACATGTCTTGGATCAGGATTTGCAACCAGTGGCTCTTTGGAGCTTAATGATTTTGGTAAAAATACAGAAAAACTAAGAACCAATCAATTAAAGAAACAAAAGTACCAGTGATGTTTCTGTAGATGGGTTAGGCTTACCCTAAACTCTAAAAAAGTCAGTCTAGCTGGTCAAACTATAACCTTAGTAATTGGTTTGGAGAACAATGTCTTATACACAAGTATCAACCCATTATTGAAGAAAACATTTCTATCACCTTCTTACAAAGGGTGTATAATGTTATTTATTTCAAAACTTTAAAGTTACAATAAAATACAATGTCTTTAAATGTGAATTCCTATCTGTTTACATAAGGACATGTCAGTTCCTTCTTACTTAGTGTCTATTCAGTTGAACTGAGGGTTTTAGTATATGTTGCATACCAAAGTTCTAAAGTATTTTATTTTGGATTCAAACGACTGGCAGTTTGTTGCTCTACATTCTGTGTTGCAATGAAATAGGATTAATTTCAGACCTGGTTTTCAGAGCGATTGAGCTCATTGTACACAGTCACTGTGGTCCAGGGGTCTATCAGTTTTGAGATGGGACAGCACACATCATGAGCGCACCTCCTGTTGGCCGCACAAGGAAACTGCACCTCCACAGACATGCTGTCATTCTTCAAGGAGACTGAGATGGATGGGGGGCTGAAGGCTGCAGAGGACAGAGAGCAGAAATCATTACTCGTATTTATTAAGGTTGATCAGATTTATAATTTACACATCAGATAAGTTTATTTTTTAACATAAAGCAGCAGTTTTTAATTCAGGATCAAAAAAAGTCTAGCATTAGCGCGAAGAAACAAGAAAATATGCAGACCCCCATGTGAGTCTATAGCTCTGGTTTGAGTGTTTATAAAAATGCTGCAGATTGCTACTGACTAAAGTCACTGTAGTCAAACTTGTGTGGTTTGATCCAAACAGTGGAGCTGGGGGTGAGGTGGACTCCAAGGCGAATCATGTTGTAGAGCTCAAAGTTTGAAAAGACGTGGGAGACGTCACAGCTCCGGGAGGAGATCCAAACACACCAAGGGACGTCCTGCCAGGGGTCCCTGGGGCCCGGAAACAAAGAAATTACAAAAAACTATCAGATGCAACACGATAATATTAATAATGTTATTCTACTTTTGTTTTTGTTGTACTTTTTTCAAAGGAAAACTCATGGAGCGCATTTTTATGAGTTTACAGCATTGGAATTAGTTTTAAAGCATTTACCAAAAGCAAAATCTATTATTAGCCCTCCGAAACCTTAAACAGTTGTTTTCCATTAATTTGATCAATTTATATAGTTCTTTATTAGTTTACAAGAATATCGTCCAAGTTATCATGCAAGTATAGTGTTCTACAGAAAAAAAAGAAAGAATATAATGACTGGTCCAATCAAAGTTTATTTACATAGCACATTTACAACAACTTGGCTGAGGAAGTGATTTACGACAAGCACATCGCAGGTAGATAAAGGATAAAACAATAAATTAGACTAGATTAGATTAAAAGGACAATCTAAACAATAGAATTCACTATAAAACACCAAAAAATTATATTAAATTATATGAATAAAAAACATGGTCTGCTTTTTTTCAGTGTCATTAATTTTCCCAAACTGAAATGGTAATTGCTAATGATTAAAACAGGGCTGTTGTATCAGACAATATAAGAGATTAAATATAGATGTGAGCCCTGTAAATAAGAGGAGCAGGAGCCTTCATGGGCCGCACCGGTTTTTTTCCAGACAAGTAGATAATTTAGATCGTCATCAGTTGCAAATATCTTGTATATAGGGCTACAACTAAAAATTATTTTGTAAATTGAATAATCTGTCCATTATTTCTTCGATGAATCGCTTAATAATTTGATAGCCAAAGGTTCTTTCAAGGTTTTTTACGAAACTAAACCAGGTGAAACTAAAACTTTTCCACTCCAGGAATTCTGGATAGAGCATGTAACACACAAAAACAATTTATTTTTATTTTATTTTTTTATGTTAAGTGCAAAATATTTATATATTTTGCTTTTAAAATCTTGGTATAATTTCTGCTCTAAGTGAGTTGCTCTGTCAGCTAAAGGCATGTTTTGCAGCCTCTTTACTCCAGTTAACGATTAATTGATTACTAAATCTGTTGACTATTACTTCAATAATAGATTAATGAGGATTAATCCAATTAATTGTGTCAGCCCTAGTTGTATATATTTTAAACTGAACACATTTGCTAATTTACAAAAGTATTCATATTTTGAAGCATTTCCCCTTTATTTTGTTGAAGGCAATTTATTCTTTTTTTTTTTTTTTTTAGTACAACCTCTTGTGGAGGCTTAAGCAAGCCTCATACCTGGAACACACCAGTCCCACCATGAAACATGGGGGTGGCAGCATCATGCTATACCAGGGAGAGCCGCAGCAAGTGGCTCTTTAGACCTCCTACAATGGCTCTTAATTGTGGCTAAAAACAATAAAGTACAAGGAAATTGAATTTCCACAACAGAATAACATTTAAAAAAAGCTATATATTTTAAGAATGTATATATATATATATATATATATATATATATATATATATATATATATATATATATATATATATNATATATATATATATATATGTGTGTGTATATATTAAAGGTGTGATATAACTGCTTTAATGGTTTCTATTATCATCCCCATGAGCATTAAACCATACACATAGATTTGCATATTTTTCCACAGATAAGAAAGATGCATGTTTTTATAGTATATATTTAACAACAATGAGTTTATTTTTTTTTTAATCAGAATGTCATGTGCAGCTCTAATCGACTTTAATCCAGCTGCATTTAGGCTGAAATGAATCTTTGGGTTTTTTAAGGTTGCAGATCTCTGTGGTATAGTAAAGCTTTTGCTCATCAGGGAAATGGAAGCTGGTCAAAGGTGATGGTAAGATGGTTGCATTTAACTAAAGGGCAGACCTAAAAAAACAACTAAATGTCATTGCTTTCTACTGGTGACAGTTTAATGACAATAAAGTTGAATTCTATTCTATTCTTCTACAAGAAAACCAGAGTCTGCAAAATATCATACAGTGACTGGAACACACCCTTCCTAGATAGTTAAGGTTTACAAAAAAAAAACAAAAAACATCCAAGTTATTTTGCAGAAAAATACGCAAAAATGTATATCTGTAGATGTGCAAATCTGGTTCACTTGCGTGTTCATTTGTTTTCTTTGCTTTATAAATCTAGAACTGCAGTTATTGTTATTGTAGATAAGGTTTTTTGCCAATGGGGTGCAGTGAATTATATGGCATTGTGCTCCTCATATCTAAAGCATAAATCCTTCACATACAGTGAAAATATTTACCCAATCTAAATCTAATTAAAGGTGTGATGTAACTGCTTTAATGGTCTCTATTATCATACCCATAAGCACATCTCTATGTAAATGGTTACTAAAGCAGGAGTTGGATTATGGATCTCACTCACAGGCAGTAGGACTTACCCCTGAGTCTTTGTCTGCACAGTGTAGGTGATATTAGGACTGGCATGGGGACAATCCCACCGCAGGAGGCAACTTAAATCCAGTGATTCCACAGCAGTGTAACAGACTAACCCAGTCGACCCTGAGAAGTTCGCACGAAACCAAGACACAAAAATAGCACGGTCACACAGGTGCTCACTGACCCCTTAAGTCCAATTGTCACAACTTTGTTAAGCTTCACAATCATGGTGCACAGAACCACAGAAGGTAACCGAATTTCACATTTCATTTAAATATGGAAAGAGAAACAGCATTTAGGGGAATAAAGCTCATTTCAACCTAGATTTAACATTTCTACAAACATTATAATGTATAATTTATAAACTATGCTTCAGAATCCCAGAACATCTCGAATACTCACCTGCGATGAGTGGGAGACTGATTGTAGACATAATCAATAACGGAAGTCTGCTCCATGCGAGACCCTTTGTCCTCATGGCTGCAATACAACCTCTGAACTGAAGAAAGTGAGACTATGATAAGCCAAGGAGAAGGTGGAAGGGGTGGAGAGATAAGGATTCAATTAAAGGCAGGTGATTTTGTAAGAGAGGATCTGCTGTTTGATCCACTTAAAGAGGAAGGTGAGAAAGGAAACCATGAATGGAAGCTCAACAATGTCTATAACACAGATACACCTTTTTAATGTTGATTCCATACAGAGCTAATTTTCAGTCTGCATTTATCTACTGTATACGCCTTTTTAAAAAAGAAAAAACATTTAATTACCCTAGAAATCCTAAAGATTTCCAAATGATTCAACTGGAATAAAAGGTTTCTGGAATTTCTATAGATTAAACGCTGTGCTGTTTTTCTCTTTTATTAGACTGTATGAACTCAATTATATCTTGATTTTAATATTGTGATAATTTTATATTCAATGCACATACAGGTTGGACGTCATATTGCTGTTGTGAATAACTGTTATATTCAATTGCCAGTCAGCTGGGAATTTATATTTTCTGATACTTTAAGATGTTTACTGCCCTAGGAGGAGTGGTAAATATCTTATTTGATCAGATATAATTGGGCTGTTATATATTGTTTATGAACACACGCCCTAATAGCTGTGTGTTAGAACAATAAATGAAAGAGTGATTCGAGCTCAAATCATGGTCAGATAATTCTGCACATACATGGAATAAATTCATCTCAACTTCTGTTCAAAATATAAGAGTTTATTAACAAAAATCGTTCAGCTCCAAGTCAAACATATTTTAGTTTAAAGCTCTTATCTAAAACTAGTGAAACTCAACTAAACTACTATGTATAAAGAGGAAGGGGAAGATGGTTGAAAATCTTATTACAATTTAAGATGGATTTTGTGTTTGAAAACCAAAGTTTATGTGTAAGAATTTGGGATATGATCAAATTAGCTTTTCAAATATTTAGTGAAATTGGAATGTTTTCAGACCAATTCAAAATGCAAATCCATGAGAATAAAACCTTATTTGGCCAAATAATGTTTTATTAAATAATTTGCTTAATCAGGAACCAGTAACGTTTAGTTAATGATTCTTTACCCTCTTTGAAATAGCTAGGAGCGAATAGACATGCGGATTACACTAAATGACTCTTGGTCATACTTGGTAATCGAAATGTAATGAGCATCTGAGGAACACATGAACACCAATTTTATATTAATGTTTAAACCCTTTTGTGAAATAAAGCTTGTCCAAGCTTCAACAACAGCTCAACACATGTTACTATAGCAAAGCATGCAGTCCATCCCTTTAGCTTTGTCTTTACTCATCAGTAAACATGTGATCATATTATCAAAAGCCATTGCTTGTCCCAGACCTACAAACCTTTTTGTCCATGCCCATGTGGAAGGCTTGTGTTTTCATCCAGCAGGAGCTTAGCATGGCAGGCTCACAGCAACGCGGGGGTTTTCCTCACACCAAGGGATCCTTAGGAGACTTTCTCCTCCAGTCTGGCTCTATAAGTTCTGAAACTCACGAGAAATGTGTTGCAAAAGGCCTGTTTTGCAGCAGCTTGGTTCTGAAAAGTCAACCATCATGACTTGATCATTCTGGCGATCTGGGCCTTTTGGCCCTGGATCTCCATGATGGCTTCTTCCACTGTGGACCCCCTGGCAGCTTCATGGGAAAAAGAATGAAATCTTGTGCTGTGGTTTTACTGTCCTCAACACAGAGTGGGGGTGGCAAGTCACACCTCTGTCGGAGGTCCTGTGGAGGCAGTTGGCTTTCTCTTCTCTGGTCATGATGTCAAGATGAAACATGGACACTGGTTCCAATCTCCAAAACCACGATCATGACAACAATATTGACTCAGAGTTTGTCTGTTTAACTGTGTTTCTCTTCTAGATGAAGACATTAAAGGAGCAAATTCTACAGCTAACTTTTATTTTTACCATTACTTCTGAGTCAGTACTTCTTTCTTTGAAGTCTGCTCTTCTCAAAGCACCAGTCAGTCGTAGCAGAGGGTCGTTCACACACCGAGGCTGGTTCTGCTGGAGGATTCCTCTCCACACTCGCTATGTGCATACTAACCATGAGGGATTGCTGCAAAAATTCAATAATTCAGTGATGTTTTTTTGGGTTTACTTGGAAATATTAACCCATTTGTAAATATGATTTGAGTGAAATGACCCCAAATTGTCTTGAGATAACTTTTATTTAAAAAAAAAAAATGAATTGAAATTTTCACTTTATGATCTGTGGGTCAGGAACTGGGATACTTTTATCTGTTAAACTATGCTGCTTTCTTTTAGAACTACTCATATATTGGTGCAACCACAATGGCTGTGGTGCGGACATAAAGTCCTATCACAATATTATATTATTGATAAAATTAAACTTGATAAAAAACAAAACTTTATTTCTTCTTCTTCTTCTTTTAGCAACTTTAAGGCCAAAGCAATCATAGCTTGATGATCAATACTACTAATTTTCAAAAATCTAACTTAAAGTAGTCATTCCTCAGCACTCCGTCGCCACAAAAAAATGTGATTTGAATCACTAAACATCCCATGACAACCACATTTCGTATTGAAATTTGTCCATGATTTACCCATTTAAGAGTTTTTAAAACATAAATTCAAATTTATCGCTTTGGCAAGGAATCAAAATTCGATAAACTATATGATTAATGGCCCGTCCCGCCAATAAGCATCCAAGTTTGTTGTATTTTAAAAACTGTTAAATCCTGTTCTGAAGAGTTTCCAAATTGTTCTTCAAACTGTTTTAAGCAGCGGATAATATTAATGACAAAAGTCCAACTCCTTTACCATTTACCATTACCGTTCATTTTGAAATTTGGGAATTTCTCAGTCTTTGAGGTGATAAATGGAAGGAAAGCAGTGCCTTTAAAACACTTTGAGAACAGTTTGGCAGAAAACATTTATGTGTTTGGATTTAAGGCAAGAATCACTCAAGAAAATTGAGTTAAAAAAAAACATCTTAAACATAAGTGCATTCTATCTTTTTATTCAATGCCATCTTTAAATAATAAGAATCTGTACATCTCTTAAGCAGGTCTTTGACCATTCATTCCCAAATATAATGATAAACAGTTTCCTTATAAACAGTAATACAGTTGAAGTGCTTAACCAGGCAACCAGAAGGGCCAACAAAGTTCATACAGCAACAAAAAAGAAAAAAAAAATAGTCTTAAGAACGGTGACATTCTCACACACGTACCCTTTCACACACACGACACTCATACCCAACTCGGTCAAATGCGCCCCAGAAATGCACTGTACGCCTCTCCGTAATTAAACACGTTAAAGCAAACCTGCCTGTTCATTCAGAAGCAGCACCAAACATCAAAAATAATCCTTACAACAGTATTAATACTAAGCTCAACATTCCTCGTTTCAGCGTCGGTCAGACTCATCTGGCAATAAGAGTCGTTGCAGCTGTAAATTTACAGATTCCCGCCGAAGCACGCCTGTAAGAGTCAAACACGGGCTGACATCGTGCAGGACGCCCTCAGTCCAGCAGAGGGCTTCCGCCGGCAAAGTCCTGCAGCGTTCCTGGACAGAGAGTCGTTTCTTTCGAGTCTGGACAGTATTTTAATGAACTCATGCAGGCACACAAACTTCTGTGCAACAAAAAGATTTTTCTGGAGAAAAAAAAAGAAAATAAGCAGAGTATTGCTGCATTAAAATCTGTGCAAATTTTAAGAAGACCCGCTTAATTTCCAGGGGAAGAGCTTTGCATTTGGTGTCGACGGTTGGGGAGTTATGTTTGAGCTCCTGGCAGGGCCAGTCCTGGATCCAGGCTGGTGTTGGTGGGCGGCAGGCCCTTAGGCCCCGGACAGAGCAGCCCACGGGAAGCGGCGTGGTCCCCGTTCAAGTTCTTATAGGGGTTTCGGCGAGGGGGCGCTCTGAGACAAACCGAGGGGAAACGGAGTCCGGCCAGGCAGCAGCCGGGACAGGAGATTACCTCCTCTTGGTCCAGGGAATGGCCGCTGCCGGAACCGAACGGTGAGGAGCCGGCGGGGTCGCTGGGTGAGGAGTGGTAGCCGTTGTTGTTGGTCGTGGGCGTGTCTGTGGCGGCGCTCCAGCCTAGCGGTCGGCTTACGATCACATTGTGGTTGTCCAGATTGGAGAGAGGCGGCAGACAGGGAGGCCCGTTAGCGATGGCTGACCTCCAACCGTTTGCTAAGGACGGGGTGGAGGGATGGAAGGGGGTGGAGGAGTGAGACGGAGAATGATGTTTGGAGTAAAGCGATGACGTGATGTCGTGCGTATCAGGGGAGGTGGTGCAGTCCATGGGCTCCTCCTCCACCTCCTGCTGCTCTTGGTCCACCGTGTTCAGTGATAAGGGTTCAATAGACAGCGGGAGACCTGAATCCCCTGCCAGGGATGAGTCCTCCTCTCCTCCCAGCAAACTCGTCTCCTCACTCCTCCTTCCCTCATCGTTCATCTCAAACGCCGACCCCTCCTCCGTGAGGACCGTGTTCGGCGCAGATATCATATGCGGAGGCGGCGTACACGGCAGTGAGTGGCATCGCCTGTGCCTCCTGGGAATATCGACGGCCTCCGCTTCAGATGCAGAGACGTCGCCGCAGTCCGGCGGAGGAGGCAAGGTGAAGGTCAGGGAGATGACAGACTTGCTGGGAGTGTCGAAAAGCTTGATTTTTCCTCCTTTGAGGTCCTCCCGCTGCAAGAAAGGGTTGAGCCGAGCAGAAGGCGTGAAAGTAACACAGGGCAGCGTGTCCTGAGGGTGCAGCATGTCGGACTTGCTACGGGAGAGACGGGGGTCGGACGTGTCGCAGAGGGACGGCCTCCTCAATGGTCCAACGTCTGGAAAAACAAACCCGAAGAGATGAAATACATGAATAGAGGTAACATCATGGTTAATTGGTGCCCAAACGATGTCCCACCTCTCACTGGAGGTTCATCCCTCTGCTCCCTCTCAGCTCGTTTCTTCTCCAACTCGGCTACAATTTGGGAAAAAGACGGACGGAGTTTGGCATTCATCTGAGGAGGAGGAAAAATCGATAGATTATTACATCAGAAGAATGCATTTTTACTAAATTCATTAAACAATACCCATAATCATCATCCTTCATCTGTTATCACTCAATATGATTCCTAAATATTAAGTTATACTTAAACACAGAAATGCATAAACCCTACAGATAATATTCCACCTGTAACACTGGGTCTTAATACTCAAGCAGCGGTAGGAAAGAAGTAGTTGGATCTTATTGGTTTTAAACAGTTTTATATTCAAATCCAAATATGATGATGGCACGAAACCTTTCTGACCATTTGAGCCAGAATTTACATGAAGTGGCATAAAGCCACAGCTCTAGATCTTCCTTCTACTCCCAATTCTGTCATGAGCAAGATATGCAGCCATTACACAGGCAGAGCAGAGAAGGGCTGGACAGCAGCCATAGCAGAGATGGAGCACATGTGTGTCTAATGGTCGTCTCTTACATTACAGCAAGCGATGGCCAAATCCAGGAAGTAAGGTGGACAGTCTCCAACCATCTGCTGAAAGGCCTCAACGTCCAGGCCAAAGTCCTGAAGGGAAACACACAAAAACATTTTTCTTAAAACATCATTAAAAACTCAATATTTTAAGTTTATAATAAAATAAAAAAAAGCAAACCAAACTTTAATTTCTAGACAATGAATGGTTTTAATTGTTATGCTGACAACAAGCCACAAGGGGGAGTAATGTTAAAACGTTATCATGGTGGCAAAAGCCTTTAAAGAAAGAACTTTCTTTACAGCCTGGTTCTTTTGCAGTTTCTGCTGCAGTATTTAAAACCCACAGAACTGGCTGACGAATACGCCAACATTACCCCTACTGAGAGAAACACGCAGCTGAGGCTTAATGTGAAAAGTTTCAGCAGCTAATTTAATCAGATGTGCTCTTTTACAGGTGGTTCAGAATGACTGCACCTGTTTTTAACTTAAATATGCATGAACAAGTTTAAAAAATTACATTTTTTTGTTGTTCCTACATTTGCCTGACGTGTTAAATGAATTTTCCTCCATTTACTGCAGCTGCCTCTAAAGGTTCCATTAGTCAATTGATCCATTTGATTCAGTAAAAATCCTTTGAGCGTGCGCAGTTGTGATGCACTGCACGCCATCGTTCACCTGGCTACTTTTTTGAGGCTCCGCCTCAGCGAGATACATTGGATATTTAGCCACAATTTATTATGGATTTTCTGTTCACTATATGCGGATTGTATAAATCAGTAAAAAAAACAACAAAAATAAAAATACAAACTATTAATGTTTGGGTCTAACAAACTTTAAATATCACACATCCGGTGCTACAAGGCTTATAAAACAACAACTAAAATAACAAAAATAAAAAAAAAATTTGGGTTTTATTTAATAAACTTAATGACTTATTTTGCTCAGCATGGGGTAAAATGGCTCTTTGCTTTTAAGAGTTCTCAGAACTCGGGTCTGATTGAAGGAATAAAATTAAAGAGAGCTCAGATCTGCTCTAAAAGTGGCCCTCTTTTCGCTAAAAAGGAAAGATGCTCGGTTCAAACTAACTGCAACATTCATAACTCCCTGATGATCTCACTCCTCTTAACAGAAGACCTTTGCAGTGACTGAAGTGTCTTTTCACCTCTCTGTAAACAGCTTTGGTGTCATTTTAACTCATTGCCAGAGAGGAGAAACATCTGGAAAACCTCTGGAGCTTGTGTTATGCTCTTTTAATGCCAACATCAGAACATATGCATCTTTAGTGTTACGATTCTCATTTATGGTTAATTTAGGGTTATTTTCAGAATGGATAAAGAAAACCAGAAGACTGAATTTAGAGGGTTTAACGACAAACTGAAGCGCGTGTTGTTCAGAGGGCCTCTGGTACTGGAAATATTACAGCCTTTTACTTTATACACCTTTTCTTTAGACCAGGGGTCTTCATCGTTTTCCAAGCCAAGGACCCCAAACTGATAGCAAGGTGGAGCGGGGACCCCCTAAATATATATATGGTATGAAATTGTGTTATATCTAACTGGTCCTATAGTCCCTCTATTACAGATGGAGTCATGTAGCGAAAGTAATTTCTCCCTGGGATTATTAAAGTATTTCTGATTCTTATTCCTTGTTGATGGGACAGGTGTTGTGGATGAAACGGTGCCCAGCTTGAAAGAGCTCCTGTGTGTCGCTGAATGTGTGCATTGATGACTGAAAGACATCTTCTGCCTCCATTTATCTGTTTACTACAGTGTGTTGAATTCATGTTAATGTGGATTTAAAGACATTTCACTTAGTTAAAAAAAAAAATTGCAGGGGGGAATATAAAAAAAAAAGTAAACTTTCACAACCCCCATGCAACCACCTAGGGGTCGTGGACCCCCTGTTGAAGACCTCTAGCTTAGAGGTTCAGGCAAACTATAGAAAGCTGTGTTGATTTGAACAAAACAAGTGTTTAATGTACTTCAGTATTCAGCTAAAGAAAAAAATGTACAATTCAAATAGAGATTGGTCTTAGGGAAATTTATGAAAAAGTGTTCCATTTTTTATACTTGTGAAATATCCCAGCATAGAAAGCATCTGTGGATACATGTGGCTTAGATGTTTTATTCCAGTTTAAAACACCATATTCATAACCAATTAAGAATATTTTTCCTCGGAAACCAAACGCACAAACTCCCAGGTCCAAGATAAGTTAATGCTGCATGCAGCACATCGCTGAGTTTATCAGTATTTAAATTCTCCTTTGAGATAGGGAAGCCAGCTTCCTGTTTGAGCAAGAGAAAAGATGTCGAAGTGACATCTCCATTTACTGGTTTTCTAAAGCGGCTCCAGTAACTGTGCGAGTAGTTATGACACCATATTAAGAATCCTTCCTGCCCATGTGCTCTCTCCATTATGGAGGCCGTAGGTTTCCATTTAGGCTTTAAAGGTTTGCTCCTCTATCGTCTCATGAAAATTGGTTTTATTCAAACAGGATGTGAATGAGATGTATAATGAAGTTAAACTGCTTGGTATCCTGATAAAAAGCTGCCTAAGTACCTCGGTGCGTGGCAGGATGTCTGGGTCGGCCTGTATCCTCGCAATGATCTCACACAAGATGATCCCGTATGCAAACACGTCCACCTGCAGCGACACATTGATTATTGAAGAAACAAACAAAAAAGGTTTGCAATAAAGAGACAATGAGAAACAATATGAATTTTAGAGCAAAACACCTGAATAGGATAATATTTAGATTTTGTAGGTTATCAATTTCTTCCCTAATTCAAAACAGGTTTAGTTTAATGGAGGACATCTTTTCTTATAATCATTGAACTTATTTATTAAAATTGCGCTCTAGAAGCAAAGAAGACCATAAATCCAAACCTTTTCATTGTACACTTCTCCTCTGAGCACCTCTGGGGCCATCCAATAGGGGGAGCCCACAACTGCCAAACGCTCCTGGACCTCTTCCTCACTGCAAAGCGGAAAGATGAAGAAAGAAGCTGGATTTTAAACACAGACACCCTGCTGAGGCAGACCTCAGAGCTACCACAGATATGACGTTAAGTTTGTCTTTATTATTCAAACAAAAAATAACATTACTTCAAAGAAAACATTTCAATTTAAAAAAAAAAAAAAGTGTTCACATTAGGGCTGAACAATCGATTAAATAAGATTAATCAGTTATTGAAATAAACTACTTGAGTAATCGATTAATAATTAAGTGGAGACTCTAAAAACTGCCTTTAGCTGACAGAACAACTGGCATAGAGCAATAACTATACCAAAATTGTGAGGAAAAAAAAAAAAAAAATCTTTATCTAGAGCTGCAACTAATGATTATTTTGCTAATCGTTAATCTGTGGATTATTTCCTCAATTATTAATCAGATGGCGAAATGTCCCTTAAAAATATATATATTTTTTTTACCAAATTAAAGCAAGTGAAACTAAAACTCTTCTACTTGTGGAGTTCTGGATAAAGCATATTGACAGAGGAAAAAGTTCATATAAATGCAAAATGTTTAAATACAGTATTTGTTTTGAAATAATTACTGTTCTAAGTGGGTCTCTCTGTCAGCTAAGGTACGTTTTACAGTCTCAATAGTCCTGTTAACGATAATCAATTACAAAATCAGTTGGATGAATATTTCAATAATCGAATAAAATTAAATGTTTCAGCCCTACTTTCATACATCAATGTTATTTCCAGAACTTCAAGTAGAACAAAATTTAGTTTCACTTGGTTTAATTCTTTAAAAAAAAAAAGTTCCTCAAAGAAGATTTTTTTTTAATTAGTAAAAAAATAAAAAACAGAGTTTTTTTGAGTACCATATTTTTGTCGCCATTCACAAAAAATATTTTTTTTCCATGATTCAAAAAGCTTTTCTTTTAGAATACAATACAGCAGAAAATCCTTATTTTGTCCCACAATGGAAAAATTCTGGTGTTTTCATTGAAGTGACTTTTTATCGATTTAAATAATTTGAATTACCTTCTCTTTTGATTGAATTATAAAGACACAAAGCTAATTCTCATTGTATGGCCCAAACACAAACAAAGATAAGCAGTGTTCAAATGTAAAGTAAATTTCAACTATATTTTTTCATTTAAATACTTTCCTTGGAATCAAAAGTGTTTTTTTTTTTTTTGCTTGTTGTTTTTTTATTGCAAATATATGAAGCAAACTTTTATAATTTAATAATAAACACGCAAATCTACCTCCATACACAGATTGATCTTTTTGGTTAAAAAGAGTATTTAGAAGGGTTTAAAACTAAGGTAACCTACATGCAAAATGACCTGTTAATGTTTTGTTTTATAAATGTTTTTGCTTTCATTCTGGTTTTATTTTTCTTATATTTTATTATCTAATTCATGTAAAGCACTTTGAATTGTCAATGTACTGAATTGTGCAATACAAATAAAACTGAATCCTTGAACTTTCATAACCTTTTGTTTAACTAGGCCTAAATTGAAAAATTGCAAAATACCATCATGACATCTACAGGAGATCATGCTCCATCTGATGACAGACGGATCTTCAGTGGGGTCTGCAAGCTCTTTGTGGTTCCAATTACTATTAGCAAGACAAGTGAATAACATTTATGCAAAGATTTTCGTGTGTAGATTTCCTATGGGGGGCTTTGACAATGGGTGCAAATTCAATTTCATTAAAAGTTGGCTTCATTACAGAAATATAGTCAATGTAACACAGTAAAATAGACAAAACTTAAAGATAAAAATTGGTTTAAGGTTTTTTTAGACGCTTTCTGGTTATAAAACAATGTTATCAGGTTGCTTATTGTCACTATTATTAAAAGTCTCTCCATTTAGGTGAAAGCAGCTGATTTACTTCACAGCAATATCTCCCTCTACAAACATGGGACAGATGCTATGAACTTTGCAGCAACCCCTCATACCAAACACACATGATGACAGAAGAACAAAAACAACAACTGCTTTAACATGGAAGACGGTCAGCCTAACCCCGAAATCCCACATACTCCGTCTGTGCTCCGCTCGGCCCCGCTGCGCTCCAGACCGCCTGCACAAAGCAAAGCCTACAGCCGCCGCTGTGGCTCCGTCCCCTCCGCTCTGAGTTCCTTGGACATCGTAGAGGGCATGCGCGAGATGAAGGATAATTCAAAACTGCTTTTTTTTTAATGAACTTGTTCTCTACTCCCAAACTCAGCATCTCTTTTCATTCCTGTAATAAGAAGTTTCTTTTTAATGGATTTGATTAAAGTTTAAGTCCCTCGGTATAAAATAAATATTTTAATGGAGATGAGAAATCTGCTTCCTGGTTGGTGAATAACCAATAGTTTGGATCCAATCATTTAAATAAACGGTGTTAGTTTTTTTTTTTTTTTTGATATTTATAAGAATTGTGCTATAATTTCTAGTCACCGATCTGTTGCTGCTATATTTTAATTTGACGAACCGGAATTTGTCGAGGTTCTTTTTCCTGTTTGGTGCGATTGCAATTGCGGATCTTGACTTGGCCGGACCGGAGCAAAAAATAGCTCGGCTCCGTAATTTGTCGGTGACGGACGGAGAAGACGTACGTGGACGGAGACGTGCGGAGGAATAGCGGTGGATGTGGAACAGCTCTCATTGATTTCCATGAAAGACAAGCGCTCCGCACAACGTACGTCAGCGGGGCGGGGCGGAGCGGAGTGCTGACGGAGTATGTGGAATCTGGGGGTAACCAGGCAGTGTGGGGGCTGTCTGCAGCACAACTGTAGTTTACCCAACACACTGGATTCTTCAGGTTTTATGGGTTATTATTGCCCATTATCATCTGCATAATAGGGGATATTTATCCCATGATGTCTAATAGTCTTAACAAGTGGAAGCATATTTAAAGAAGTCAAACAAAATCTCAGATGAAATTCATCTAAACTGGTTTACCAACACACGGACAGAAAAGCTCATTATTAATCTGTTATACATTCAACTTTTACTCTAATGCATTGCAGCCATATCTGAGTCTTACTTTAGGAAGCTTTTTTTTTTCTTTAAGTTTTTACCACCCAGTTTGCTCTGCCGTATTATTGTTTACCAGTGGGACAGTGGGGACAGTTGTATATCACTTTAGTGCTGTGGTCAGCCGAGTAAAGGATAGTGTAAATAAAGGACAGTCTAGTGTTTGGACGAGGCCCAAGCATTCAGGGATAAACCCTCATATATACATTTGACCTCATGAATCATTTTTAACATTAAAAAAACAACTACATAGGATTTCTAATAAACTTAGTTTTCTACAGTTCTTGTGTCAATATAAGAAGTTGCCTTTTTTTTATTTATTCCACATTAATCACAGTCGCAAGTTTTCTTTTCTCTTCCCCCCTTCTAAGTCTCAACCATCTTCCTATTAACCCAGAAATGCTTCCTTGTGCCATAAGAAAAATCATTCCCACAGCATGATGCTGCCACCACTATTTATTATATTTTATTATATTAAAAAAAAAGTTAGAACTGTAAATTTACAGTCTATATTGTTATTTTTTCCCCTTATTTTTCAAGGCTGCACTTTAAAGATGAAATTGTCCAGAGAGCTGTTCCAAACGAAATTTCTTTTTGTTTTACACTTGTGTAAACAAAATGACAAATAAAATCTAAGTCTAAATTTTACTGTGGAGATGATGTTTTCCGGGTCAAGTGAGTTATTTGTTTACAACAACATATGTTTTATATGTCAGCTAAAATTATAAATGTCAAAATAATACGGGGAGGTTTGTGACTTTAACTTGGGGAAAAAAAAAAAAAAAGGAATTCAGAGTCTAAGGCCGTGTCCGAATGTTCCCCTAAGCCCTAAATCCCTAAGTCACTATATATAGTAGGAACTATATAGTGGACTTTATAGTGAACTCCGTAAACTGAACTTTCAGACAGATGATGTAACTCCATCTACCCAAATGATGCCAGCTCCATCTTTGTCATTTTTTTTTTGCCACCACAACAAATCCCATAATGCTTTGCGAGAAGAGCTCTCCTTGTAAAGCATTCCAGGATATATCTGCTTGTCTAGTGACCATGGATGATCACTACTTCTCAAGATGCATTGTGGGAAATTAGAGTCGATTACTTTTTCATCCACTTGACGTTCGGACGTTCAGGGATCTGCAACCTGTGGCTCTGGAGCCCAAAGCAGCTCCTTAGACTACGGTATTGACAATCGTGTTTCATTTTGGGCAAACAAGAGCAAGCTAGTTTTTTGAAAAAAAAAAAAAAAAAAAAAAAAAAAAAAAAAAAAAAAAAAAAAAAAGATATACCGGTACTAACAAATTCATGTTTTAGCATTTTATATGCTGACTATTGCCTTGGAAAAATAAAATCATCAAAAAATATTTCCTTTCTTTAAAAAAAAGGTAATGTGATGTTTGCAGCTCTAAGCAAATTTTACATGTAAGACGGGTCTTTATCATTTCTCAAAATAAATCTATTCTATATCAAAAATATATACTTTGACCTTTTTAAGAGGAAAATGTGGGTTTTAGAAACATTAAAGTTAAAAACATTAAATATATATCATAAATATATTCTCTTTTTGCAAGACACTTTCTGTGTCTAAGAAACAACATTGTTTTCAGTTATGCAAAGATATTGTTGTTGAACTTAAGCTGAAACTTCAAAAAAGGAAGGAACTGTAGAATGTGCAAGGACGATGTGATCACACACACACATGCCCACATGAGCAAACACACCCCTCCCCTCCTCCTGCTTCTGGCAGATACTTCCTCCCTGTTCTATTTCCATCTGCCACAGTGTTATGATGCAGCAGAAAATCCTAAACAAGAGCCGAGACGGTCATGGCTCCCGGTGTAAACACCATGTGGAGAAGTGGAATGGCAGAAAACAGAACGCACTGAGGACAGAAGGTAATGAGTACGAGTTGCTGTCGAAAAAAAAAAAAAAAAGACCAGAGGGATTTGTTATTTGAGGGACAGCAAGCGGAGCAGCAGGGGGACTGGAATAGTTTGACCATATTTGGAGCTTTTCCTAGCCCCCCTGCCAGACTCCTCAATCATCTCCATTGCTTCCCTTATTCCTTCGTCACCCCATGCCATTTGCAGACCTGTAACAACCACAACATCCCCTCTGTTAGTGTGCTTTGCTGCAGGACGCAACTGTGTTTGAGTTGAAATGAAAGGCAAACACAGCCTCTGCGATGACAGCCGCACAATCCGCCAGCTGCCACTAAAAACCACACTTTGGAGCGAAACAGAGGCGCAAGTATGCAAAAGTAAACAGCAGCAGCAGCCAATCAGCTAGAAGGCCTCACACTCTGGGACATATCAGTATGTTTCTTTTTCCTCTCCACATTTACAAGGTGATGGACACAGAGGTTTATTGGAAAGCATTAAAACTGAGAAAGTTATGAGCCCGACCCCCACCCCCCCACACAGCCTTCCCTGGCCCCCTGACTGGGGCACACTTGTATAAACAACTGGTGGCTCTGCAGAAGCAGAGAAGCAGGAAGCAGATCACACTTGGAGGAAGGCAAGTCAGCCAGGCTGCAGGGGAGGATGCATTTGCTGCGGTTTTATAGTGCATTGTATGCAGGCTGGCGGCCATATGGTGCATGACAAAAATAAATTGCTCAAACTCTACAGAGATCAATAAAAAAAAGTGACCATTAAATATTGAGAATTCTTTACAGCCCCAGCTCTTATTCCCCTAGAAGAACTTTTTACAGCTCAACTTTTAAAACAGATTTGATACAGGCCTCTAAAAATCACTGACAGCGATGCACCGATGGCCAATTCCCAGTCCTGTGGTGTGTGAACCCACCACAGGCAGGACGTGCCAACAACAGCAGCAGCTCTAAAGGCTGGCTGTGAAACCTCTCACCTGGAAATGCTTTCACAGTTTCCCTTCCTTTTTCAAACTGCATGTTTTCAGCTAAATCACAACAAAACATTTTGGGCAGTAAGGAAACAAACAAACAAATAAGCACAGTACATAGGGAAACCGGGTCAGTTTGTGATGACCAGCTCGAAGATAGAGGATGATTATACACAATGAGAAGGACAAATAGAAAAGAATAAATAATTAAAGAACAAATAGGGGCGACTCATTCGCCTTCAGAGGTTGGACTTCCAGCCAGTTGACCTTTGCTGCATGCTTTCCCTCTTTCTCTAACATTTCCTGTCTGCCTACTTTAAAAAAAATTATAAAGGCCACTATAGCTAACAAAATCTTTTTTTAACAATCCGGACCTTCACAACAATGAGGATAATGAAACAATGAAAATGTCTTTGCTAAGGAAAAAAAGAAGGTGATGGCTACAGGAATAATAGCAATTGTGGTGAAGAGAATACAGGTGATGAGGGGGATAAGAATGACTATAGGATAAAGAAGGTCGATGCCAACAGAAGATCAGGGCTTAAATAATTATCAAGGAGGAAGGTGACTAAGCAGGATGACTACGACCTAGCCTTATAAACCAGACTAAATGTGAGATTTAATGTGTAATTTAGTCTGGCCCCGATGAATGAGACATCGGACGATTATTGATGAAACAACCTGTTGTTTTTCAAACCATGTCTGTGCCTATTGGCCAACGCTCTGACCAATGAGCGCAACTGACTGTGACGTAGTAAGCGCAACAAATAGCTGGTGGGGGAGTGTAAACAAACAGCCCGTCGGTAAAACGGCGAATACGTCCTTCTTGAAAATGAACGAGCATGGAGCCTCTACCTGCTCACGTTTCAATGAAAACCCCAGGTCTAATCCTTCAAAAACTGATTCCAAAGCCGAGAACTGTTCAATAGTTGTTGCCATCTTCCTTGTTGTGCTTTCTCAAGTGTCGCACGGCTTTGTCGTCACGCCCTGGGACAACTAGGATTGTGATGAGGGCAAATATTACACGAGGGTTTCTTCATGTGCTTAAAAAAAACGACAAAAAAAAAACAACAAAAAGCATCAGAGTTGGGTTCACAAGAACTGAACTAGAAATTAACCTGTCTGACTCCATTTACCAGAACTATTCTCTAACACTTTGACTGCAGCTCCTTTAAATCCATAGCTGTATTTTTCCCAGCACCTGTGTGACTGTTGATTTTTGGTTTAATTTCAATGTTCCAGTCACTAGGCCCAAATATAACATCAGTCCAAATTCTAATATGCAATTTATTTTCTAAAATAGTGACTTTACACAAATCCAGGGGAAACTTCAACTCACATCTGCAGCCAAGAGATTTATTTTACAAGCAGAGTTTTGAATCTAACACTTTTTTTTTCTCTGCTCCCTGATCTAAATAATTTTTCCACATTGTGGTGATTCCATTTGCTCAGTTTAGAGTCTGATCTCAAACACATGAAGTAACCAGACAAAGAATCACAAAGAAAATATGACTTCTGTTTCTAGTCACGCACTGCAGAAGGACCATAAATGAAACGCACCGCACAAATGTGATTAAATGCAGCTGCAAACACAGAAACGGCTTGATGGGAGCAACAGAGTGTCGTTAATGCTCTGCAGCTTGGCTCAGAGGAGGCGTCAATATTTATTCTGTCTATCCTTTATTATGCAGTGAGCAAACAGCGGTTAGACCGAAGTATTTGAAAAAGTCGACAGAGTCTCAATAGCATTAAAAATGGAAACCCACTATGATTAATAGTTTTATTTTGTGTGCGACTCATCTGATTGTATCCAAGAGAGAAAGAAAAAAGATGTGGTCTGAGAATATTTCTAAGAAGATATGGAATTACTCAAAGGAAACAAAGAGAGGTGAAGGAATGCGATTTATTGAGCACCACTTATCTAATCATTGAATTTTTATAGGTGGTTAGATTTTTATGGACTGACCTGTAATCTGGGATTTTCTCTGCCAGGCCAAAGTCTCCCACCACGGCTGAGCACATGCCGCCCTCCAAGCGCACCAGACAGTTCTGCACACAGAGGTCAGAGGTCACAAACATGGGTCAACAGCTAATGGTTTTACATCCAAAACACAAGAAGGATTAAAGAACACTGCAATGTAATTTACTGGGATCTCTGTGGCCTACAAACAAAGTAGAGCATGACACAGAAAGAAGTGAAAAAATACAAAATCCCTGTATAAACAGGTCAGAGTTGATGAAAGGTTGTATGGAGTAATCCTTCAAGAAACTCCAATTAGATGCAAAGAAACCAATGAAGAGGTTAGGAGTGTCCCGATACACCTATTTAATTTCCGATACAGATATTGCCGCTTTGAGTACTGCCTGATAACCATCAGCATTAATCATACCTACTTTTATTAGCAAAGTTTTATCTAATCTCTTTTGGTATTATTCTAAAGTGGAAATCTAAGGCAGCTATTAACTAATAAAAACTTAAAACTAGTGCTGAAACAATTCATTGGATTAATTGTGATTAAGCAATTGTTTAAATAATCCTCATCTAATTTAATAATCGTTAACAGGAGTATAGAGACTCTAAAACGTGCCTCTGGCTGACAGAGTAACCCACTAGAGCAGCAATTATACCAAGATTGTCAAAAAATTATCTGAACGTTTTACATTTAAAATAATAAACATTTTTACATGTCAATATGCTCCATCTAGAATTCCTGAGTGGAAAAGTTTTAGTTTCACCTGGTTTAATTTTATTTAAAAAACTTCGTCTAGGAACCTTTTGCTATCAGATTATTAATCGATTAATCTAAATAATAGACAGATTAACCGATTTGCAAAATAGTTGTTGGTTGCAGCCCTACTTAAAAAAAACATAATGTATATTTATATATATATATTTTTTTTGCTTTTTTTCTTTATATGCTGTTATCCAAACTTCAGAGCCCCTCAGAGGTCCAAAGAACAAATGAATCATCACAGGCCGTGTGTAAAGCTGGTAGAAACACCCAACCAAAAAAATGTAACAGCAGCAAAATGTGCCTCAAAGTATTTACTCTTGTCATGAGATATGGATCATGACAGGAAAAAACAAACTCCGATACAACAGTCTGAATATGATGAAGAACTCCATCTCTGGAAGTGATAACGTTTAAAAAAAAACAAAACAAAAAAAAAAAACGTAGTGAATCCCCCAGGAGGAGGAGGAGGAGAATAGAGAGAGATGACTGGACTTCCCTCCTGGATGAATGAACGGAGACTATGCTTTTATTTTTATTATGTCATGTTGTACGCTGGGTTATCAAATAACATGCTAAAATACAAGCCTGTTGAAATGACTCAAATTTCTCATCGGATCATCTCAGTTTTCAGAATACCTAGAAACTGGATCGCCATGGAGACAGATGCAGATCCTGAAAAACTGTAGACCTCCATGCTTGTTAAACACAACTGCTATGATTTCACTTCTAATTTATCCTTCTGCCCCGTAATAGACAAAAAGGATGAATCTATTAATTTTGAACAAAAATAAAGAACTGTGACTTAAATCTGTATGTTTATTTTATTAATGTATTATTTGTATTGGGCAGTTTGCTATAAAAAAATAAATCAAAGCAATAAAAAATAAATAAAAACCTATGCCAGAATTTATACGAACAATAAAATGTCTTTTATAACAGTTTTATAACTGCAATAAAATCATTTAACTACCTTAAAATGTAAGGTATAAAAAAATAAACACTGTTCCTATTAAAGTTGTAAAAGAAAACTGTGGACATGAGCTGCAGGAGCCTCTTCTGTAAATCTAACCACTCTTTGAATGGATTATGCTGGGATTACGCAGCCTTCAGCTTGTAGTTAAGATTCAGTTACGGTTGGAGGAGAATTAACCAGGAGGGCAACCTTTGACTAACCTACCTTATCTTCCATCATGCTTTATTCAGAATAAGACAAAGTCAAGGCGCCAAATGTGGATGAAGGGCAACAGTAACAAGGAAAGCTAATGGCTCCTTTTAAAAAAGTTAAGATCAAATAAATAAAAAATGTGCATCTTTTAATTCATACTTATGAGCAGCTAAACATGCAGTCACTATAACACATGCATTGCAATCTTATAAAGCCTTTTATTATAGCTAACCTTAGAGGTGAGGTCCCTGTGGAAGATGCCTTTGCTGTGCAGGTACTTTAATCCACGAGCGATGTCCAGAGCCAGGCTGAGCCGCGTGGTCCATGACAGGTACATGTCGCTGCCCAACAGCTGCTCCAAGTTACCTCCGTTGATGTACTGGATCAGAAAAGATGCAAAGACAACAGAAATATGCTCATTTTGGAGTGTAGACTGCATTCTTTTTTTAAGTCTTCTGCTCAAATAAATGGGGGATCCCTGCAATACTGATAAAAAAGGAATGCTAGGGTCCCCTAAAAAAATCGCGATAATATAAGATTGGTTATTAAAATAACTAGGCGTAAGTTGCTCTTTATGACTAGTAAATTACTAAATTTTCTTAATACAGGAGTTCCCAAACTGTCCAGCCTCTTACTCAAAAAAGGATCAGTTTTGGCTCCTGAGCAAATCTATTGGTCGACTATTCCAACATTAAAAACTAAAATAATACAATTAAATAAATAAATTAACCAAGGGTGTAAAAATATCTGAAACAGCAGCAACAGATGGTTAATGAATAGTGTGTATCAGATTAGGCTGCAAGTTTAACTTCTATTGTGAATCTCAAGACCCAATTATGGTTGATAAAAGAATCTAAGTCAGAATCAATGATACATAAACTTTTTTTTAAACAAATATGTTGCTAGAGCTGCAGCATGAAAAACTACAAACTTTCCTTCTACAGATCAACACTTAGGAAATTTGTTGTGTTGCAATAGAGTGAATCACAAGGTTGCTTTAATTTCCCCTTTTCTTGTGTCAACATTGTCTTCAAGAGTGTAACTCACTAACTGTCAGCTCTCTCAGTATAGAAAAAAAGGAACTAAAGCTCAGACTCTTTAAAAAACAGGCAGCAAAACGAAAACAACTGAACACACAAAAAGCGAGGAGAGCTGTGAATGCATCAGATCTCACTTGAAGAGCTAATGTTTCCCATTAGCTGCTGGGTAGCCATGGTAACAGGTGTCGACTGATTAGATGCTAAGAAATGGACGGTGTGTCCTGCCTGACCTCTGCGTGTTTATTCAGGCGATTCTGGCCTCGTTGGGTCCGACAGGGTCACAAAAGATGGTTGCCCATTTGACCTTTTTTAATTTCTTACTATATAAGATTCAAGCCATTCTGAAATAGAGCATTGTTTTACATTAAAGGGATTATTAGGAATTTATAGAAAACATTTTGTCCTGAAAAAAGTCAACCAAATAATTTTAACTGTACAAATAAAACAAGCATTAATATTTAATAGCACTTTTTAAGCAGTGTAACCTTAAGTTAAAAACCAGGACCAGTCTTTTTTGCAAGGAAAAGAAAACTTTAGCTATCTTTTTTCAGAGGAGATGAGCAACAGTGTCTGGTGAGCTTTGGTCTCAGTCATTAAAATGACAGGACAATGTGGCAGCTGCGGATTGTGCTAGGAAACAGGAATACACAGAAGGATGGAAGTTAGGGCGAAAGGAAACGCATGAGGGAGAGTAGACAGGGATCATGGAAGTAGAAAAGACAGAATGTTAGAACAAGACTTGGATATTAAAATGAGATATAAGAGAGAACGGAAAAGGGAGAGGAGAAAAGGACGAAGGGTGGAAGAATGAAAGGAAGTAAAGAAGAAAGGCCACAAAAATAAAGGAAAAGAATGGAGGGAATAAAAAAAGGAAATGAGGAAGAAACAAAGAAGAAGGAACGAAGGAAGGAAAGCCGGCGGGAGAACAACGCTTAGACTGTGGGATAGGCCTTAAAGCAGGCATCCACATTTTTTGACATTTTTGCCAAGGGTCGATTTGGAAGTAGTTAAAGGTTAGGAAAAAAAAATCTGATCTTTATCTTAGTCAGAGAATATGTTGATTGTTGTTTTGTTTGACATTAAATGAGTCAATTTATTAAAGAAATTGCATCTTTTAAACCTAAAGCTTCACACAAACCCCATTATGAAAATAAAGCGACACAAATTTCTACATTTTTCTATGTTGATCACAGGTTTTCCAATTTTTCCATAATGTAAATCAGTAAGGAACAAGAACTGTTGAGATGAGAGCAAAACATGTTTTGAGAGATACTTTTTTTGCACCTTTTTCACTTCATAAATCTTCCAATTCTAATAACTGTCAAGCTGAATCTGTATCATTTGAGTTGAACTTGGGGTGTAACATAATTAAACCAAGAGCTGAAAATGGCCTCCAGGCTACAGCTGGTTTAAAGTCTAAAGTCAGATGAATTTTTCCACCTTTTTTTTTTAAATAACCCGATTATTTCTTTCCAACTTTGAAGCTAAAAATGGGTCCTAATCACCAACAGGTCCCTTCCTTTAACATCTTCTCTAGTTGAGCATTGTTATTGTATTTTTAATTTCTGCTGCTGTGTCTGTGCAAATCGTTGCTACCAAAAGGAAACAAAGCATTGCAGCTCACAAAATGCATCGTTAATTTCATCTTCACCATCAGAACCTTACCTCTGTGAGAGCGTGCAGCTGTCCCTTGTGAACACACACACCTATAAACCTGCAGGAAACAGAGGAAAGCAGTCAAAACCAGACCCGTCTCAAGGTTTACAGACCAACTTAGCCAAATGAAGAAAATATGACTTCTAGGCATTTCAAGTCAAATGTTTGACTTACTGGCTATTTGAGTTACCTGAGTATGTTTGGATGTGATAGTCTGTTCATCAGTTGGACCTCCCTGAGCATGTTGGCTCGGTTACTGACTAAGATGTTCATCTTCAGAGCCATCACCTGACCCGTTACCCGGTGCTGCACCTGTGTTTAAAGGACAAATATAGTTGGTAAGCATAAAAAATAAAATTAAACTACCAAATCAGCTTTTGTTAAAAGATCTGCAAAACCCTTTAGAGAAAAACAAACTGAATTGATTGAGTAAAAGCCTGAGATGCAGACAAAACTTCACTGAACTCATGATTGTTGAAACGCTGCTGCCTGATTACTGCAGACTGGCCATGAAACCTTAGCAAGTCAGCTGCACTTTCTGGCCAAACCTGCCGTCATGGCGACGGCTCCGTCTGGCATGGTAACGATGGAGATGCAACACCCACCCCACCAGGATACGCATTTGCTTGGCATGTAGTTTGACTTCTAAAGAAATTTATGCAGGGAGGATATGACAGCTGAGCTGTTTGGCACCGTTTGCAGAGGCAAGAAGTCAGATGGTGTTGCTTTTTTTTTTTTTTTTTTTTTTAACTCTGACTGAACTGAGAAAAAAAAAAGCCTTGTTCTTTCTACAAGAGAGCAATACAGAGTCTGATGCTGCAAAGGTAGTCCATATGTATGAGACTGTTCTTTGCGAGGATTTTTTTGTTAAAGTTTTGAACCTTACTAAAAAAAAAAAAGCAATGCAACAGAAACGTTTAACGCAGCCCACAACCAACAGTCATGAACAGAGGGAAAGGAAACTCATTCAAGAGCCGACAGCGCAGATGGTTTAATAGATGGGTGGAAAGAATAACCTAACGCTCCAGCTGGTTACAGTGAACCAGCTGGGAGGTTAGAGGGACAGGCAACCTGATATACCATCGTCTCATAAAAAAAAAAAAAAATTTATATTTGATCAATAAAACCACAAAGAAATCAGTATTGCCCCCCATACTCCATCCTAAGAAGGGATGTCAGAAGGACTGCATTCCAATAAGAATGAGGTGATGCTACTTTATACGCACCACTAAAAAATAAAACAAAACTAGCAGTGATTTAAGCATACAAACTTTACTTCCACTCACATAGAGCCTTTCTGTGGGCTGACTTAAAATAAAAGATTAATCACATCAAGGCCACCAAGATTTTATGCTTTACTTTTGGCAAACAATGCAGTGGGTCTGGTCTCCTTGCAGTCACACAAACAGATCCGTTCTACAAAACTGAAAACACCAATCTTCCTCCAGATGCATAGTCTGCTCCATTTAATGCGTGACACAGCATGATAATTCCAATTCAAGCAGTAAGTTAGACACGCCACACCAATCATCTCATGTTTTTTGTTTGTTTTTGCATCGTGACAGACCCAAGAACCCAGCTAGGCTAAGGGATACTCATAGTATATATGAGCCAACCTCAAGGGCAAAAAATATGTCTGAACCACAAAAGGCATACCATGTCATAAAGTAGAGGCACTTGTTTGCTTTAGGTGCAGAAGAAACTGCTACAAAATGATAAAAGCAGACCACCACAGCAGTGTACCTTTTTTTGTGTGTGCAAATGTATAAATCCTTTATTATCCCACAATGGGGAAATTCACTGTGTGCATTTAACCCACCCCCTTTGGGCGAGCAGTGGGATGCCACTGTTGGCGCCTCTGGAGCAGTGTGGGGGTTAAGGGTCTTGATCAATGTCACAGGTTGGCAGTCCATGGATGTGTGGGGGACTTAGAACTCAAAACCTGTGGAACCCAAATGCAATGCCTTTACCACTCCCACTTCCTAGTGGTTGAAGCATTATGAAATTATGAAATCAGAAGGTTAATCAATACAGTTGCAACCATCCTTTTTAACGACAATATAAAAATTATTTTTGATCATCATTTCATCCTTTACTCTTTTGTTACTAAATTTAACCATCCATATGAAATGCAGACATTCAACCCAAGAACTAGAACTGCACCAGTCAATCGGCAATTTAAAAAAAATGGGCGATTATCAATCAGAGTCAGTTTCACAGGAGCCCGTAAGGCGGACTGAGAGGCAGAAAAAGAAATGAAAGGAAGTATATCCGTATCCAAGCTGGAGGTAGGACGATGAAACAGTCCTTCTAGGGCTAAATTAAAACAGCTTTTTTAAAGCTACTCATAAACCTCTTAAGGGTATTCTCCACTTCGTTCTTTGTTAACATTTTCCCTATCTTCTATTCTAATAAAAAAAGTTAATCTCTGCTCCACTCTTACTAAAACAGTGATCAATTCATGATACTTTCTCAGCTCCTAATTTGTATAATTTAATATGAACTTGTGACAACAGTATTGAAGGATTTATGGATATGATGTTTCAATTGGCACCTAAAAATCCTGATTGGTGCATCCCTATCAAGAACATTTCCTATTGACCACGCATCAATTTGTACCTGTACCTACCTTGGAAACCAGCATTTTAAATGCATTTTCAGGAACTGGCTTTAGGAATGAATTTGCTTTCATTAAATGGTGGAGGTTTAAAAAGGGCAAAAATGTCAGACTGGGCTGAAAGTCTTCCTAATGAGATGGATGCCTGAGAAAAACCTAAAATGACCAGTTTTCTTTTGCTTTGTGGAGGATGCATACATTATTGAATTTTTGATAAATCACCATTTATGAAATCCAGAACAACATTAAATTGTCATATATAGTTAAAGACATGCAACAGTAGGCATCCACTTTAAAAAATATATATTTTTATAAAAAAATTTTTGGAGCAATAAGACTTCAGTAAAGATCTACATTCTAAAGTGCATCTGCATTTATATAAATTAAATCTATTTTCATTTAAGATTATTTTACACTGAGATTCTGAGACTTAATTTGTTAAAAATGACTTTAAATGAAATGTAATTTAACGGATCTACTCCCAAGACAGAAAAGAAAATCACTCAGGTTTGATCTGGGGTCATAATTAATTACGAGTAAATGGGTCCAAATGAGATCACAACCAAAATAGAGGGGGAAAAAAAGGTGCAATATTAACTTTTTCAGAAAACAAATAATCATATAATAAAGATAAGTGCATAATGGTTTCTCTGGCTCTTTCAGCAAACTAGTTTGGACACTTAAAGTGTTTCCACATACCTCTCATACCCGCACACATGACAACATCGAGGTCACATTTCAACAACATAACGACTCTAGCAGAGATCCATAAATAATTCAAATTTAACGATATGCTCCTGAAATCCTTCTGCTTTGGGTTCATCGTGCAGACACACCTCTACTGGTTCCACCGTGATGACTGACATGACCAAAGGGGTCAGTGACCCCAGCAGATCTGAGGATGTAAACAGTCTCACCAGAGGATAAATACCCTGTAGTCCAAGCAGCCTTTTTAGGTCAGAGGTTAAATGTCTAAAATGAGAACAACAACAGTCCTGCTGCCTGCATTATTCAGTTTGAATAGACTTGCAGATAGAAAAGCCATTTTTTTTGTGCTGGGATACCTAGAAATAAGGGAGGCACACAGAAAATCCCTGCTAGCCTTTATTTCAAAGGAGAAACAATCTCCTTTACAATATCAATTGTCTAAACAGAGCAGTACATCCTGATGATAACTAACCGTGTGCAATCAGGAGTTGTGACCTTAATGCTTGACTGTATACCAAATTTCCTCCATGCTAATAATAAAGCCAACAGAGCACAGCAGGGTTTCGGATTGCGCCCTCATTAGCAAAGGAAGAGAGTGTAATGAAGGAGCGGCGTTTGAGGAGGAGGAAGGTCAAAGTGCAGAGTCTCTGGGCTGTGACACTGGCCTAGATCTGAGCTCCGAGTCCTGGATAAGAGGGAGGGGAAAATAAAGACGACAGCAGCCACTAATGTGTACGTGCACACTCGCAAGGAGGCGGCAATGCCCGTTCCGTGAACGAGAGCAAATCTGTGCCAAACTAAACATTTTCTTGAGTCGTCAGCCTGAGTCAGACTGCAGGGTGCGCATGAATGCACACATGCAAATCACACCTCTGCACAATGCTTCCTACTAAAGAGGAAAAAAAAGTAGAAGCAGAAAACTTGCAGAGCCCAGAGCCTGTGTTGGACTAATCTTTGACTCTACCAACCCTGCTGCAGGTCTGCACCGCACTTGAAGCTTCTAGTACGGTAGCTATTAGCAGTGGTGTTTCTATGATAAACAATGTCTAGAGTTGAGAAAACTTATTCACTCACCTTACATTTTCAAAGAATGACCTTAAAAAGAAAAAATTTACATTTTTTATGGGGATGACTACCAGGAAGTAGCGCATAATTGCAACATTAAGCCCTGGTACTTTGTAAAATAATCTAAATAAAGTATCAATAGCTCATAATGTAGCAAGATGATTTTTTTTTAACACTTTTTACAGATAGGCAACAGTATTTGAATCAGTGGATCATAAACCTTTTCTTAAAGACTGAAACAATTATTTTCTAATCACATTTCTGGCCATAAACCTTATATCCAACTCTCATCACTCCTCCCATTACATTAGCTCAGTCACAAAAGGTGTGCCTCAAGGCTGTGTGTTAGGGCAGCTGCCACAACCAAGTAGCGAAGCGCAAACAAAAATGTGTCATTCAAGCATCTGAACAGCACCCCTCAGGGTTTCCCTACAAATGTTATTTAGTTGTGCAGGAGGAAAGGGGGGTGAATGCAAAATAGTTGTTGGATATTTAATTGCAGAAACATCTAAACCTGAATAATTCTCATTCACTTTAAAATGATGCACACCTTTCACGTTATCATGCATATCCCATTAAGATGGGATATAAACGGGGTTGCACATGCAGTAGCTAAAAATTCACATTTACTCACTATTCCCTGCAAACATCTGCTTTCACACCTATTAGTAGAAATACTTACATGCTCCTCTATAATCCAGGGATTAACAGCCCTTCCAACAGTGACTCACACTGTACACTGGTTGCATTTCACACACGCACACAAACACGTGCGTGTGCCAAATGCTGATGCAGCAGCGGTTAGAGCCACAGCCTCGTTCGACCCAGCTGTTTTGTCCCGACAGATTTTAGCCTCAAAACAAACAAGCTCTCACTTGTCATTGTTCTAGTCTGACTCAACGTGGAGGTCAGACCGACTGGG